CCACATGGCAGCTCATAATGTCTGTAACTCCAATACTAGGGGATCCCACACCTTCTTCAAGCTTCCTCAGGCACTGCATATAAGTGGTGCGTGGACATACAAGCAAAACACTGTACACATAAAAAATTAAAAAAACCAAAAATCAAGCAACAGAAAAACAACAGAACTACCATCATAAAACATTCCAAGAAAAGCATAGAATGAAGAATCCCAGAATCGGTCGGGCATTGGTGGTGCAAGCCTTTAATCCCAGCACTCGGGAGGCAGAGGCAGGTGGATCTCTGTGAGTTCAAGACCAGCCTAGTCTACAGAGTGAGTTCTAGGACAGGCTCCAAAACAATACAGAGAAACCCTGTCTCCCCCCAAAAAAATCCTAGAACCAAGAGCTAGGTATGGTATCAAATGCCTATAATCAAATGCCTGTACTTGGAAGGTAGAAACAGGAGGTTTAGAAATTTAAGGCCAGCCTCTGCTACAGAAGGAGTCCAAGGCCAGCCTATGCTACCCTATTAACTGTTCTACCCTAGTAAGTTTGGAACCAGATTGGCCCACCTCAAAACAAAAACTCAACACAGTAAAACAACAAAACAGAATCCTACTAGTTACAGACAACTTGTGGTTCCACATAACACTCTCCTGCGCCTATCTCTCTAATATATCTGGTGTCTGTGCATGTGTGATGGCTAATCTTGGTTGTCAACTTGACTACATCTGAAATCAACTAAAACCCAAGCTGTTAGGCACTCTTGTGAGGAATTTTATTAATCAGATTATTTGAAGCAGGAAGAGCCACCCCAAATCTGACAGCCCACACATAAAAGGACACAGGAGGAAACCTTGCTTTTTGCCTGCTCGCTCTCACTCTCTTTATGGAAAATTTATCTAGCCTATTGTTGAAGCTGGTGTTAAATCCTACTTCTTCAGGGTTCCAATGTATACTGAGGACCAGTAGCATATCCAGGAACCTTCTAGGACTGCAGCACCAGACAGGGACTTCAGAGATATCCAGCCTCATGGACTGGACAACTAACAGATTCTCAGCTTTCTGTTGTAAGACAGCTGTTGGCCTATCTGAACCACATCTTGAGAGCCATTCTAATAAATCTACTTTTAATATGTATATTCATTATGTCAGTTCTGTGCCTTTAGAGAATCCTGACTAGTACAGCAGGTAAGATTTCACATAAATAAAAAGGTAGGCAGTTTATACATTGTGATAAGCTAGCACTGTTTTTTAAAGAGCTTGCTTGATACATAAGGAATTTTCACTTTACAAAACATTATTTTTTCTTTTTTTCGGAGACAGGGGTTCTCTCTGTAGTTTTGGAGTCTGTCATAGCACTTACTCTGTAGCCCAGGCTGGCCTCTGCCTGGAATTAAAGGTTCGTACCACCACCCAGCTTGTCGTATTTTGTAAAAAGTTTTTATGTGTATAGGTGTTTTATCAATGTCTATGTCTGTGCACCACATGCATGCCTGGTGACTGCAGAGGTCAGAAGAGGGTGTATGATCCTGAGACTTGGAGTTAATGATTGTTGTGAGCAGCCATATAGGTGCTGGGAATCAAATTAGGTCCTCTGAAAGAGCATCTAGTGTTCTTAACTACTTAGCCAACTCTTCAGTCCCAGAGTTTTGTTTTAAAGACAATTTCCTATAGCAAAGGCTAACCTTAAATTCTCCATCTACTGGAGGATAACCTTGAACTCCTGATTCTCCTGCCTCAACCTCCTGACTATTGGGATGACAAGTATGAAAGCTGACTTTCCTTTTTCATTCAAGGTCATGAACAACTTTCTAACTCTAAGGGCCAAATCAAATGAATGCTAACCTACCATAGCTTATGAAACCAGACCCATTTCCACAGTCATTTAAATACTTTCTAACTTGTTGGAAAGAATTCTGAAAGCCAGGTATAATGGCACACATCTGTCATACCAGCACTTGAGAGGCTAAAGCTGGAGGATTGCCTAGAGTTTGAGACCAGCCTGGGCTACATACTGAGTTCCAGAATAAGACCCTATGTTTAAAAAAAGGAGAGTTTTATTCCTCTGTAAAGTGATCTTTAAATTTTTAAAATTTATTATCATTATTGTGTGTGTTGGGGGGGAGGTAGACGCACACCTATGACACAGCTTGTACAAAGAAGTGAGAGGACAACTTTGTTGATTTGGTTCTCTCTCCCATCTTTTATGTGGGTCCAAGGGACTGGACTCAGGTCACTAGGCTTGTGAGACAAGAGTTTTCTTTACCCACTGAGCCATCTTGCTGGCCCATAAAATGATATCTTTTGAAGAAACTCCAGTAAGTGGAGTTTCTGGTTCATGAGTACACATATTTCAATGACTATTACCCAGGCTTTTCTGTGGAGACGGTATAAAACAAGGAAGACTCACAAATTTTTACCAGATAAAAACCCAGTAGAGGTGGGGTGCTGGTGCTGTAGCTCAGTGATAATAGAGCACATGAATAAAGTCCATAGTATACCAGGCCCTGAATTCAATTCCTAGTGACAAAAAGGGGTGAGAGTAGGTTAAAGAGGATTGTCCAATGAGATAGCTCAGAGATCCCTGGGACCAACATGGTAGGAGAAAACCAACTCTCTGCATGTTATACTGTGATCTCCACATGTTCTGTGATGTGTGTACACATACACACACAGACACACAATAAATAAATAAATAAATAAATAAATAAATGCTACCGAATTTTTTACAAAAAGAAAAAAGTAGGTTAAAAACAAAGATGAGGGCTGGAGAGATGGCTCAACAGTTGAGAGCACTGACTGTTCTTCCAGAGGTCCTGAGTTCAATTCCCAGCAACCACATGGTGGCTCACAACCACCTTGAATGAGATCTGGTCCCCTCTGCTGGCATGCAGGCATAAAGATGTATACATAATAAATAAATAAAATCTTTAAAAAAATAAAAACAAAGATGAGCCTTGAATCCCAGCACTCTGGAGGCGTGGACAGGTAGATATCTAAGTTCTGAGCAAGCTGGAGCTATGTTTTAAGACCTTGTCTCGAAAATAAAGAAAGGTGATAGGGGAAGTGCTGGAGAGTTGGTTCAGCAGTTACGAACACTGGCTGTTCTTCCAGAGGACCTGGGTTTGAGTCCCAGCTCCCATATAGAGGTTCATAATTACCTGCAACTTCAGATCCAGGGGATCTTATACTTTCTTCTGGCTTCTAATGGCACCAGGCATACATGTGGTATATAGACATATATGCAAGCATGTAATACCCATACAGATAAAAATAAGCAAAAGAGAAAACTATTGACACAGTGAAAATATGGATTAATGAAGTCATGTTCCATACACTGAGCTTTGATCAAGCTGGCCTTTGCTCTCTGAGAGAACACATAAGTAAGCATAACATTAGAATCTCACCCCCTCGGTATACAATAGGGATAAAAGAACTAGCTACACAGTAGTCATGCTGGGAGCTTCAAAATGTAAAGAGTGTGGGGAAGTGCTTTCTGAAACTGTCCTCTGCAACATCACTGTTGGCTGGTATGGTTACATTTTCTGAAGTCCTAAGATAAAGTTTTGTGGGCCAGCAAATGGGATTCTGTCTATATTAATGTCAATTACCAACAAACATATGTAGGTAAAGAGACAACATGGAATGTAATCATTTCATTCACAAGAACTGCATTGCTTTCTCATATAAAAGAATCTCTTCCTTTTTTGGAACAGCCTCATTATACAGCCCAGCCTAACCTCAAACTGGTGAAAATCTTCCTGCATCAGTATCCCAAGTACTAGGGTTACAGGTAAGAGCCTCTATCTTTTTAAGGCTGAAACAATGATTTGGCATAATAGGCTATACTTTAATGTGAAAAAAGAAAGAAAAGTATAAGCTAACTCAAAGTTTAAAAACAAAAAAAGAAACTCAGGCCCGGTGGCCTTTAATCCCAGCACTTGGGAAGCAGAGACAGATGGATCTCTTTATCTCTGTGACTATGAGGCCAGCCTGGTCTACAAAGCCAGTTCCAGGGCAGCCAGGGCTATGCAGGGAAACACTGTCTTGAAAAAACAAAAACAGAAAGTCATGGGTCAATTAAAAAATGTCACAGGGCCCCACCCCTGCCTGGAGATCTAAAAACATTTTCTCTAGTGGTATAGTCATTGGTAAGTTGGTCATGTTCCTATAAATAGCTTCACACCCATGCCCCTGTAAACAATCCTAATGAAACTCACTGAGTCAACAAGAACAAAGGCTGGGGATGTAGCTGGGTGCTAAAGTACTTATCTAGTATGCCTGACTCAGTACTGCAAAAAACAAAACAAAACAAAACAAAACAAAACAAAACAATTCAGGAAGTTACTAAAAATCATGAAAGTTAACATGTATGTTCTTAAACTTTCAAACATGTTTTTATAGACTGTAAAAGAAAGGACATAGTGGTACATGCCTTTAATCCCAGCACTTGGGAAGGCAGAGGCAGGTGGGTCTCTGTGAATTTGAGACCAGCCTGGTCTACACAGTAAGTTCTAGGTCATCCAGAGTTATATAGTGAGACCCTGTCTCAAACCAAACCAAACCAAACCAACCAACCAAAACTGTAAAAGCCTGACATGGTGATACACATTTGTAACCTCAGTAATAGGGAAGCTCAAGTAGGAAGACAGTTGTAGGGCTGGCTTATGCTACATAATGAGTTCAAGGCAAGCCTACTACATAGCAAACAAACAAAACAACAAACAAAAAACCCTCAAACCCAAACAAGAGCATGTAAAAATTGAATTCAGGCAGGTAGCGGTGGTACACATCTTTAATCCCAGCACCTGGGAATCAGAGGCAGGTAGACCTCTTTGAGTTCAAGGCCAGACTAGTCTACAGAGTGAGTTTCAGGGCAGTCAGAGTTACACAGAGGAACCCTGTCTCAGGGAAATAAAAAGAAAAATAATTCAGCTAAAGGGAAAATCCTGTGAACAGAGATGTACTATGACAAGAGAAAAATGCTACCTACACAGGATATTTATAGGGTACTCACAGCTGATAGAGCCAAAATCTGTTGTTGAATTGTTTCTTCATCATGGCTATCAACCCATGGTGGCACAGCTGCTTCTATACAGGAGAAAAAAAGGTTATTGGGGCTAGACAGATGGCTCAGTGGTTAAGAGCACTTCCTGCTATTGCAGAGAACCTGGATTTAGTTCCCAGAACCCACATGGCAGTTAACAACTGCCTATTAATTCCAGGGGATCTGACACCCTCTTCTGGCTTCTGCAGGCACTACATGGTTACAACAGTTATACTGTAATCTGCCATTTCCAAAAAAAAAAATAAAAAACAAACCAAGAATAGTAATTTACCAACAAGCTCTGAACATGATTATTCACTGTAATACCTAGATTTAATTTGTAAGCTTTATGTATGTATGTATTTGGTCAACAAACACTCTACTTGAATGATACAGTACAGATATCTGATAATAATTTAATCAGGGGGTTGGGGAGGAGAGGAGGGAGAGGGAGAAGGGATTGAAATGTGAAGCAGGCTTATTTCTAATTTGAACTAATAAAAATAATTTAATCAGTTATTCAAAATCAGTATCACTGGGCCCACAAAATGGCTCAATGGGTAAAGGTGCTTACCTAGAAGACTGAAGACCTGAATTCACTGCCTAGGACAACATGGTGGAAGAGTCCTTTGACCTCCGTATGTGCAAAGGGGCACACATGAATGTATATACATGCATACATACTCAAACAGTAGGGGAGAAACACATTGTGGATCCCTGAACATGTTATTTCAAGAAGGACAAAATAGGGGACTAGAGAGAGGGCTCAGTGGTCGGAAGCACTGACTGCTCTTCCAGAGGACCAAGGTTCAATTTCCAGCACCCACATGGCAGCTCACAACTGTCTGTAACTCCAGTTCCATTGTCACACGGATACACATGCAGGCAAAACACCAATGCAAATGAAATAAAAATATTTTTTAAAAAAGACAAAATATTAGAGCCAGGTGGTGGTGGCGCACGCCTTTAATCCCAGCACTCGGGAGGCAGAGGCAGGGGGGGCTCTTTGTATTTTGAACCAGCCTGGTCTACAAGAGCTAGTTCCAGGGCAGCCTCCAAAGGCACAGAGAAACCCTGTCTCGAACCCCGCCCCCCCCAAAAAAGACAAAATATTAGAATATACAATACTATTCTAATCATGAGGAAATATCAGACAAATATATAATATACAACATATGCTCAAATATACAAAAGTAGATTAAGAAGGGAACACCCCACCCTCAACATTTGGAGGTGCAGTCAGGAAGACCAGAAATTCGAGACAACCTCAACTACATAGCAAATATGAGGTCAGCCAGGACTGTCTAAGACCCTGTCTCAAAAAGAAAGACAAAGGGGTCTGGAGAGATGGCTCAGAGGTTGAGAGCACTGCCTGCTCTTCCAGGGGTTCAATTCCCAGCAACCACATGGCAGCTCACAACCATCTGTAATGAGATGTGGTGCCCTCTTCTGGTGTGCAGGCATACATGCAGACAGAACACTGTATACATAATAAATAAATAAATCTGAAAAAAAAGAAAAAGCATGCCTGTTTAAAAAAAAAGAAAGACAAAGGTTGTTAGAAAAATCCAGACTAAATAAGGCTAAGAGAAATGACAGAATATAATAAATATCATATCTCAACTAGTTTTTGGACTTAACTAGATTCCAGGTGGGGGCAGGGGGTCAACTAGCAAAATGAATAGGTATTAGATTTGTGTATTATGTCTCTAGGAATGGTGGTGCATGCCTGTAATCTTGGCACTTGGGAAGCAGAGGCAAATAATTGCTTCAAATTCTAGGCAGCCTGGGCTTCAGAGTAAGATGCTGTTTTTTTTTTTTTTAAAAAAAGAGCTGGGCATGGTGATCTACTTTAATCCTAGCACTTGGGAGATATGCAGGTAGTACTCTGTGCAGAACTCTGTAGGGCAAGCTGGGTTTAGAGGTGGATTTGGCTTTTTTCCTCTAAAATCCAAGCACATTATTTAACTAAACTTTAGTGTTTCTGTATTGTATCAAGAAGCCAACTGATGTAATACAGAATAAAAGAAGAATTTGGGGACTGTCTTTGTCTTTTCTTGGATCTTTCTCTCAAGGTGTACACCCTCTCATAATTGTTATGCTCTCATGGTTGCATTCCCCAGCATGTGTACATGCACAAGCAAACATTTCTCTGCTAACTGTTTATGTTTGAGTCCCACACAGCAAATGAAGACCTGCCTGACAGCAATCCCTGGACACTCTGGAAAGAAAATGGGCCACACCTCCTCGACTGCACTGGATCCAATTTGCTCCATTTCAACTGACACTCCGGCCAGAGGTTCGGGTACTGACTTCAATCAAGTTGAGGATTTCAAGCGAGATCTTCAATCAAGTGAATCCCATCTCACATGGACTGGATACTAACATTTTCTTCCTACAGGACCCCACATGACTATCATCATCCCATGTCAGCAGGAAGTAAACTCGGAGGATGCTACGCCCCCTTTCCCCATTGTTGTCACTTAGGATAGTGTATATACCTAGTTAGGGATAGCTTCCTATTGTTTATGGTTGGGATTGGAAGGAGGTGTTCAGGCTTGGACACCTCTTTCAGATGACTTTAGGGTTTAATTTAAATAGATAGTGGGACGTAGGATGACTGCGTTTTCGCTTTCAGTTTCTCTTTTGGGCTTGCATACAGACTGCTGCCACGGCGGCTGGCTAGGTCACTCGGTAAGTAAGGCTTTTCCCTATTAAATACCCTTATATTTCTACCTGACTCCGTATTGGTAATTTCCCACTATATAGAACTCCATCAATTCAAGCCAGTGACACACAGTACAACTCTGTCTCAAAAAAATTAATAAAAAGCTAGAGAGATGGCTCAGTGGTTTAGATTTCATGACAAAGGGTAAAGAGCACTTGCTACTCTTTCAGAAGGATTCCGGTTCTATTTCCAGCACATATGTAGTGGTTTACGAACTGGAAATCTGATACTTTCTTGTGACTCCCCCTCAGGTCTCATACTGCTCTTGCAGAGGCCCCAAAGTTCCGTTCCTAGCATCCATTGTCAGGTGGCTCACATCCACCTACAACTCCAGCTCCAAGGGACATGCCCCTATCACACATAGGCTCACACCTTTAGTCCCAGCACTCGGGAGGCAGAGGCAGGCGGATCTCTGTGAGTTCAAGGCCAGCCTGGTCTATGAAGCGAGTGTCAGGATAGGTTCCAAAGCTACACAGAGAAACCCTGTCTTGAAAACCCCAAAAAAAAACGAAACAAAAAAAACAATAAAAATAAATAGAAAGGGTTATTGAGATGGCTCAGATGTTAAAGGCACTTGCTGCGAACCTGACACCATGAGTTCAATCTTTGGGACCCACATGATAGAAAGATAGAATCCACTCCTGGAAGTTGTCCTTTGTTACATACAGGCCAGAAGTAAATAAAAGTCATGAGAGAGAGAGAGAGAGAGAGAGAGAGAGAGAGAGAGAATAGGATCACAGCAAAAAACAAATTAGAGGCAATAAATGATAGGGCTGGAATCAACTGTCAATGAATAGTTAGAAGCTGAATGCTGAGGATACCAAAATGACATACACCTAGCTAGATATGATTAGGAAGGGAATCCAGGACTCCATTCAAATATCCATTTGCTGCTTTTTATAGTAGATTATAACTGCACTAACCCCAACACATGTTAGATCCAAAGCAATCCATTCCAGAGTAAAGAGGCAGTTGCAGATTTGCCTCAGACTCAGGATGAAGAGATGGTCAGAGTTAGTGTTAGGCTGGGGATATAGTAGCTCAGTTAGTAGAGTGCTTGCTTAGCACACATGAGATCCTAAGTGCCATTCCCAGCACTATACAAACCTGGTATTGTGATGTATATCTATAATGCCACCACTTGGGAGGCAGAAGGAGGAGGGATGGAATTCAAGGTCTTTGTTGACTATACATCAAGTTAGAGATCAGCCTTGGCTTTGTGAAGGCCCATCTCAAAAATAAAAACAAATGAAAAACAGTTGGTACCAATATCTGGGCCTGAATTTTTCAAAGATCTGTCAAAATTGGGATCCTTATCTGCAATGCAGAGCCTAGAAGTCTTACCCCTTCCATAGTTGTTGCCCTAGCTAAGATGAAAGAAGAATCTGACAACATAGGCTATTTTTGCTGGTGTTAGTGTTTTATTTATTGATTGATTTTTGAGACAGTGTTTCATATAGCCCAGGTTGGCCTTCAACTCACTATGTAGTTGAGGTTGGCTTAAACTCTTCATCTTTCTACCTTTCCTCTCAAATGCTGGAGTTACAGGTTCTATCTAGGTTTTTATTTACTTTGATTTTGTTTTTAGACCAGGTTTTTCAAATCTAGCTGGTCTCAAACTCCTGGCAATCCTTTTACCTTAGCCTTTTGGGTACTGGAATCACAGGTGTGCACTACTAGGCCTGGCTTGGCTTTGGTCTTTTTGAATGACCCTCTTCTCTATCACGTTCAGTAAAAGACTGAAGTGTGTGTGTGTGTTTGTATTTTTCTGTTTTGAGATACAGTCTCTCTACATAGACCTGCGTGTTCTGGAACTCACTGTGTAGACGAGACTGGCCTCAAACTCTCAGTGATCAAACTTTCTCTGATTCCCAAGTGCTGGATAAAAGGCATGCACTACCACATTCAACTATTTTTTAATTTAAAAAGTTTTTTTTTTCATTTTGTAGCCCAGGCCTGGATTTACTATGTAGCTCAGGCTGGGAGTACAGCCTCAAACTCACAGCAATCCTTCTGCTTTAGCTTCCCAAGTGCTGGGATTACAGGTGTGAGACACTATGGCTGGCTGTACAAAATTTTTTGGTGCTGGAGATCTAACCCAGGGAGGGCCTTGTATATATTATGCACATGCTCTATCACTGGATTCCATCCCAGTCTTATACATTTTTGTATTCCTAGAGCCTTAGTATATATAGGTCTAGCACATGATAAATGCTCAATAAAACTTGGTAGGGAAGCTGCGGATGTAGCTCAGCAGCAGTGCTTGCCTAGCATGTGCAAGGACCTGGGGTTGAACCCCAGGACCACAAACCAACACACACACACACACACACCTTGGCTGAGAAACTAAGACAAACATATCATACCTGATTTCTTTGTGTGCTGTTCTTCAACAAATTTTTTCTGTTCTTTTTGAAAATCCCCTATAATGGTCTGTTAGAAAAAAACATGAAAAGTCAAATTACTTTGAAAGTTTACTATTAGGTAAGAATAACAGTCAAGCTACATGTGTACATATATGAAATTGTCCAAGAATCAAGAAAAGATATTCTAAAAAATTCCATCAGCATATATTTTACTTGAGTTAAGGAGGTGATTACACTAGCTACTTGACAACTTTCGTAAAGTCCTCCTTTTACAAGTCTTCTAAATGTACCTTATCAATGATGCCATCTATTTTCCCTTCTTCCACAGATTTCCTTATTGTCTGAGCTGTTTCAGCAACAGACTCAGTTATCTTCTTCGTGGCAGCACTCGCAAAGTTAAACAAATAACCTGTAATGAACAAAAAGGGTCTGTGTTTCATCTAAGTACAATGGTTATCATACCTTCCCATCAGTATCTGCAGGGATATTCAAGGACCTTCTTGGATACCAAAATCAAATCTGTATACATTCAGGTCCCTTTGGTAATAATGGCACAACACAGAACCTATGAATATTCCCCCATACAGTATTGTGTATGTTAAATCACCTTTACTGGGATCCAATCTCATGCCCTCATGGTTGCATAGCTCTTAACCACTGAACCATATCTTCCAGTACCTACACTGTCAATTTAATCTAAGGAAAACTATTTCAAAACTGGCATACTGGCTGGGTATGGTGGTACATGCCTTTAACCCTAGCATGTGGGAGGCAGAGGCAGATGGATCCCTGTGAGTTCAAGACTAGCTTGTTCTCTACATAGCCAGTTTTAGGCCAGCCAGGGATATATATTGAGACCGCTACCCAGTCCCCCCACAAAAAAATAGTAGTGGGCTAGGGGCTAGATGGTTCAGTGGGTAAAGATACTTGTCAACAAGCACAATTACCCCCCTCCCACATAGTTGAAGTAGAAAGCCAACTCCTAAAAGTTGTCCCCCAACTTGCATCATGGCACACATGTACCCACGCATGCAAACAAGGAAATTATCAAAGCAGACATAAATATGGCATTTAAGGAAGGAGGCTAGAATAGGAAGGTAAAAAACATGCAAAAACATGAAAACCAAAAAAAAAAAAAAAAATCCCCCACAAACCAAAAAACACGAAAACCCTTAACAAATTAACATTCTTACACAGAGGTAGGTTAATTTTTCAAAGATACTTCACTTAATTTTAGAATCCTGGGAATTGTCAGGCGTTGGTGGCGCACACCTTTAATCCCAGCACTTGGAAGGCAGAGGCAGGTGGATCTCTGTGTGTTCGAGACCAGCCTGTCTACAAGAGCTAGTTCCAGAACAGCCTCCAAAGCCACAGAGAAACCCTGTCTCGAAAAACCAAAAAAAAAAAAAAAAAAATGCTGGGAATCTTAAGTATTAGAAGGGTGCTTAGAAGTGACCATATTCTCTTTCGATGGTGGTGCATGCCTTTAATTCTAGCACTCAGGAGGCAGAGGTAGTCAAATCTCTGAGAATTCAAGGCCAGCCTGGTCTACAGAACTAGTTCCAAGACAGCCAAGGCTATGAAAAGAAGCTCTGTCTCAAAAAACAAGAAGTGACCAGATTCAACTTTATATCCAGGCAACTCACTTCCAGGACACAACTTTGAAAAGGCCAGAATTTATTACTATTACCCACATGAAGCTGAAAGCTTTTGCAAATCTCTTGCCATTTCTACCTCTCAGTTTTAAGTATCTCTCCACCCACAACAAAAAATCTGTTATTGCTGGGCATAATGGCACACATCTTTAATCCCACCACTTAGGAGACAGAGGCAGGCAGATTTCTATGATTTTGAGGCTGGCCTTGACTACATAGTGAGTTCCAGGACTGCCAGAACTACGTAGTGAGACCCTGTCTCTAAAACAAAAAACAAAACTATTATTATACATATGAGTACATGATATGTGTGGGGGTAGACACATGTGCCATGGTGGGCATGTTGGAGGCCAGAGGACAACTCTGTGGTGGCATTTCTCTCCTTCCATCTTTCTGTGGGTTAGGGGAATCAAAAGCAGGTATCAGACTTTCAGGGCCAGTGTCTATACCCACTGAGTCATCTTGGCCCCTAAATCTGTCCTTCCTCTTAGGAAACACAAATTTCTTTTTTTATTTTTACAAAATTATAATTTCACATGCCAATCCCTTCTCCCTCTCCTTCCTCCCCCCAAACCCCCACCAGCTCCCTCCCAGGAAACATGAATTTCTAATCTAAGCAATGTCCTTAAGTTTCTTCTTCAAACTAAAATTGCTAGTTGATAAGCTGTGGGATCCAAGCTCTTTCTGTAACTGGAACTATGCTATCAGAATTCAATTAGATATTTTACATCTAGATTGTTTTGAGACAGTTTTGCTATCTAGCTTAGGCTGGCCTGATATTCACTATGTAATCAGGCTGTTATTGAACTTTCAGCAATCTTTCTGCCACAGTATTCTGAGTTTTGGAGGATTCTCCATCCCTGCCCAGCTTAGACACTTGTTCTTCAAAACACTCTAATTTTCCTAGGTGCGTACTAGTTGTATGAATGACAAAGATATTTAGCACTCCTAGAATGATAGATACCTTCCTCATTAAGAGTATAGCAGCTGGTGAGACAGCTCAGTGGTTAAGAGCACTGGCTCCGCCAGGCGTTGGTGGCACATGCCTTTAATCCCAGCACTCAGGAGGCAGAGGCAGGCGGATCTCTGTTGAGTTTGGGCCAGCCTGGTCTCCAGGAGTGCCAGGATAGGCTCCAAAGCTACACAGAGAAACCCTGTCTCAAAAAACAAACAAACAAACAAACAAACAAACAAACGAGCACTGGCTCCTCCAGAGGACCTGGCTTTGATTCCCAACAGCTCACAACCACCTGTATTTCCATTTTCAGGGGATGTGATGTCCTCTTTTGGTATCTGTGGGCACCAGGCACACACATGGTACATAGACACATACACAGACAAAACCCCCATATACACAAAGAGTACAGAAGAAGATGATTTGGTTGACTTTCAAAACAACTAACCACTGAATAATAGATGTTGTTTGCTCCTTTGGAGACAGTGACCATAAGAAAGCCTAAGTTTATCAGGACGAAGGACTAAGGAGCAGGTGGTTTGGGGTGGAATGAAGGAAGAGAATGTAAAGTTGGGTGTTCACTATTGTAATGGTAACAGTAAGTGGCTTAAATGTATAAATAGGTCACTTCTAAACAGAAAGTACTTAGGATCCAATCTTGAAGGGAGGGATTCAACAAATGTTTGCTTAACAAATGGAGCTCTTAGTGGATTCCAGCAGAATTCAAACATCTAAAGAAACTACTTACTGGGAATCAGGTTTAGAAATACTTTATTTTTCAAAACACAGATGGGGCCAGACATGGTATAGCTAAATTTGCTATCTAGTGATTACTCTCATGAAGTAGAGGCAGGAGTTCAAGTCAGCCTCAGCTATGTAGAGAGTTTGAAGCTAGCCTTGGCATACACTCAAAAAACAAAAACCCCAAACCAAACCAAAACAACAAAACCCCACAAAGAAAGTACACAAATATATTTTTTAGCTGTATTTTTAGGGCCAACATGCAGAATTAAAACATCTAATAGTTTCTCTAGCCTCTCTAAAACGTTGTGTATAAACTAGAACTTTTACATAAAGTCACAAAAATTATAGGAGTGAGAGCTTTCATTTATTCTAAAACTTTAAATTCCCAAATAGGGAGGTGGGGGTTCCATCTAAACTCAGCCTACTCAACCATCAAGGGAACCTGGTAAAGAAAAAACAAAAACAAACCACCACCAACAAAGAGAACCTGGAGAACCTTGTGAGGAAAGATGGCAGGAAGCATGGCTCAGACACTTAGCATGTATGTGGCTCTAGGTTCTTCCATCTTGAAAAGAAATGTCAGGGAAAATGATGGTGCCCACTCAGGGAGTAGAAACAGGAGGATCAGGAGTTCTTTACAGATAATGCCTCACTAAGTAGTCAAGACCGGCCTTGAACTCACTTTGTAGCCCAGGCAGGCCTAGATCCAGTGATCCTCTTGCCTTAGCCTCTTAAATAGCATTACTGGCTTAGGCCTACCTTTTTTGTTTTATGAGACAAGGTCTCAGGTAGCCTTGGCTGGCTTGGAGCTCACTATAGCTGAGGCTGGTCTTGAACTCCTGATCTTCCTTTCTAAGAATTCCAAATGCTGGGGTTACAGGCCTGTGTCACCATATCAGGCTTTCATCCCACATTAATCTATCCCAACTACCTAGTATAACCTCTGCTCTTGTAAAATCTCCTCACATTCCTTGAATATTACAAGTTCATTCCTTTCCAATTTTCTACACTGAATATATTCTCTTTTCTGTTGATTTCATGGCATCACACTTAGTTTTATTTCCCTTATGCAGTCTTTGGGAGTCTTGGCTGAGATGATATACTGTTAAGATTTGATAGTGGGGCTGGAGAGATGGCTCAGCGGTTAAGAGCACTGGCTGTTCTTCCAGAGGTCCTGAGTTCAATTCCCAGCAACCACATGGTGGCTCACAACCACCCTGAATGAGATCTGGTGCCCTCTGCAGGCACAAGACTGTATACATAATCAATAAATAAAATCTTTAAAAAAAGAGTTGATAGTGTGGCTGTTTTCCCTGTCCCTGTAACTTACAGTCAAACTTTTTGAACAGCAGGACCTTTACTACTGAAGTCTGTGCTTCTGTTTTTTGGCACCCCAAATCCACTTGATAGGCCCTTAAAACTTTCTGAATTTAGTGGGTATGTGGTGGTGAGCTCCAGTAATCCCAAATAGGAGGGAGACAGAGGAAAGAATGGAGGGTTCAAGGCCATCCTTGGCCACATGGTGAGTTTGAAGCCAGCCATGGCTATATAACACACTGTCTCAAATACAACAAAAAGCCCTGCTAAATTTAGTATACATTTTGTTGCAATTTTTTATGTTTACTTCTGCTTAGGGCCCACTGCCCCAAAGTCACCTTCTTTGACTATTTAAGTCAAAGTCTCTCCAGAATTAGTTACTAGAGTAGGTGTTTATATTCTCAAAGACTACTTGTACTTTTTGTTCAACTTCAACTATAAACTTGGAAAGAGTATGGGCTTTGAAATCAGGTAGATGTTGTTTGGCTCAAATTCTACTTGTCCTGCTTACTATCAGTAAAATATTGGGTTTGTTCTCCCAACTAATTGGGGATGGTGAATAGATGAAACTCAGGTATTTATTGTCATCAAAGATCTAACACCGAAACTCGAATATTGCTTCTTTCCCACCTCAAGTAAAAAGGTTCTGCTGTATGAACCTGAGGGGAGGGGGAGACCGATCACGAAGCATCTCGGAAGCAGAGTTGGGAGGATCAAGGTCATCCTAGACTACAAGGCAGGCAAGTTCGAAACCATCCTGGGCTACATGAGACCATGTCTCAAAAAAGGAAAACACATACATGACTTAAGCTTGAGTAACTTATCAAGTTACCTGACACAATACCTTGTAGACCAAAGGCATTTTCCAAACTACTCTAGCTGGGACACGGAGGTGGAGATTCACGTGAAAGCTGGCAAGTTGAATAAACCGAACCGCTTGTCAAAACCCAGGGGCGCACTGCTCGCTTTACGGCGCCTGGGCTTGCCAAGTATACAAACTTCGCAGGAAAGCGACAAGTTCTTAGGCACGTCGAGGGCACGACAAGACTACCTGCTGAAGCTTAGGGGTCGCCCAGCTCCTCACCCAACCGTCGTCCCATGCCGCGGAGGACGGACCCCTCTCACACACCTGCAATCCCTCGTCCCCTCCCGGCCCGCCCTTGCGCCCCGGAGGGAACTCACTGCCAAGGCCTTTGGCCTGGTGGAGGAGCGCTGGGTCCTCCGTAGGCTGCTGCTCGACCTCGGTGGGCTCCGCCGGTGACTTGGAGTGCTCCTCAGGAGGTGCGTCTCCTGCCAACGGCTGGTCCGCGCCGGGCTGCTCTTCTTTCGCCGCCGCCCCCTCGGGCTGCTTCAGGCCCAACCAACTGCTCCAATCCCGGAACATCCCGCCCGCGGGGTCGCCGCCGCCACTGCCGCGGTCCCCTCACCCAAGAGCTCTGCAGCCGCTAACTGCCCTGCGACTGGACTTCACGGGTCTTTGAGGGAGACTGGCCGGAAGCCCGAGCGACACCTCAGCCGCCGGTCCGTCCTTACTGCGCTAACAATCCACCCTCTATGACTGTGCCAGCTGGCCGCGCATGCGTCACGTCCGGCTCAAGCTCCGCCCCCGCTCGCGACCCGGCG